TTTCCCTCTTTCCCCTGCTGTTAATCTGAGGGAGTTTTTCACCACTATTTCTTGTGGGAATCTGGTCGAGTTCCTGAAGTCTTGCAATATTGAGGCTCCCCTTGCCCCCATGACCGGGACTCCCAGGAGTTTATAGCTCTGAGTGGGCAGCCATTTGTCATTTATAGCTCTTGTCCTTCCCCTCACATTTTCTACAGGTTCTGCCCTTGGCTTGCCTATGGGTTACTAGTATTTGCCTGTGTCTTGATCCTCGGGGTGGTGTCTACGTCCTATCCTCTGTTATGTATCCCAGAAGAGTTATTTGTCAGTCTTTAGGTTTTCATTTTTTTTTTTTGGCGGGGGAGGGAGGAGCACACCCAACAGTGAACCATGTGGTGCTGGGGATTGAACCCAGGACTCCTGCATGAGAAGCAAGAGCGCCCCCTATTGAGCTCTCTATCATTCTAAGGCTTTTCACTTGGGAGCTGGAGTAGCAGTTCCTGAACTCAGCATTTTCAACGGTGCCAAAGATGGAACCCAGGGCCTCACATATGCAAAGCGAATGTTCTACCACTGAGCCACACCCTCTGCCCCAACTCAGTGCACTTGGAACCAGAGAAACGTTGTTGGAAACCTCAGCAAACCAACAAAGAAAGGTGGACACGCACACTGCACTGTCTGCACTGTCCTCCCATTGTTCATCAATTTGCTTGAGCGGGCCCAATAACGTCTTCATTGTGAGACTTGTTGTTACTGTGTTTGGCATATCGAATACGCCACGGGGAGCTTGCCAGGCTTTGCCGTGCAGACGAGATACTCTCAGTAGCTTGCTGGGCTCTCTGAGAGGGGTGGAGGAATCGAACCTGGCTCGGCCGGGCCGGCCATGCACAAGGCAAACACCCTACTGCTGTGCTATCACTCCAGCCCACTTACAAAAATCCTTGAAAACTTGGCCTTGTAAAAAGCAGTGGTCTGGATCCCAGCAGACCTCACCTTAATCTACTGCCCGGAAGCCACCTTGTTCAACTGGTGAGAGATGCTATAGGGGAAATGAAGGCAATGGAGGCCTTAAGCAGATGAGGAGCCTTATGGAGAGGGAAAGTAGGAGTGAATGCGAGAAGGGTTTGCATTGCAGGGTAGTAGCTTCCGGTTCTGGTTTGGTGGGTAGGATTGAGACAGTGCTTTTCTTGTTTTTGAGTATTGTTCTTGTTATTTCTGCTGTGCTGGGTCACAGGCCAAGGTACTCAGGGTCCAGGTGATGCTGGGCACGGAAGCCAGGGGCATGGGCTATACCACATGAGGGCACATACCTAGCCCTTAGAGATACCGAACTGCTTTTTGCCATTTGTTTGCTTTTATGGTTTGGGGGCCATACCTGGCAGAGCTCTAGGGGCCACAGCTGGATTGGTGCTCACTCCCAGCAGTGCTCAGGGGACCCTGTGATGCCAGGGATTGCATTATGGGCCTCCTGCATGTAGAACGTGCACAGCAGCGCTCCAAGTCGTTTCCCTGGTTGAGACACTAAGTTTCTGATGGCTTTTTGAGGCTGCTGGCCCCAGGACCACACTTTTGAGTTGCAATCACTGTATCACTGACGTCCCATTGTTCGATTTGCTCAAGCAGGCACCAGTAATGTCTCCATTCGTCCCATCCCTGAGATTTTAGCAGCCTCTCCTTACTCATCCTTCCCAATGCTGCCATATTGGAGGCTCTTTCAGGGTCAGGGGAATGAGACCTGTTATTGTTACTGTTTTTGCATACTGAATACGCCACGGGTAGCTTGCCAGGCTCTATTGTTTGAGTTGCAATAACCAGTAAAAGTAGACCCATGGGGCTGGAACAAAATGAGCGTGGATAAGAGCAGAGAAACGATGTGAAAAATAACAGTGGAGCAGGTCTCGCTCCCCTGAGGTCTTGTGTTGGGACCCCACTAGAGAGGGGAACAGAGAAGCCATGTGGCCGGGTGGCCACAGGGAGAAGGAAGAAGTCCATAATGCCAGTGGGGCATCTGGTGGCTTGGGAACAGGAGTGGAAGAGTGAACACTGCACCTGGAAGGAGCTGCCATTTCTGCCCCACACCTCACATCCACCTCCTTCCTCCAGGCCCCGCTAATCCTAATTTTCCTGCTTGAAAAATGACGGTACTCAGGCCAGGCCTCTGATACCTTACAGGGGTATCAGGATCCAGAGTCCAGCACTGAAAATACTGGAGACTGTCTTTTTCTTTTGGAGTCATGCCTGGCGATGCTCAGGGGTTTCTCCTGGCTCTGCACTCAGGAATTACTCCAGGCGGTGCTCGGGGACCTTATGGGGTGCCAGGAATTGAACCCAGTCGGCCTCTATATGATGCCATCCCTTCATGAACCCATGACTTTAGCCCCAGGCATCAAGCCGTTCCTCCTGCAAGATGGTGCGGGCTGTGAAGAGGAGCTGTAGAACATTACACATGCAGGCGTGCCACCCTGCTGTCTCCCACTCAAAGGCCTCACTCAATTGTATGTAGAAGATGTTCTAGGAAGGCAGATTGCTTGCAGACACTGTTGTTCTATCACATCACTTACCTTGATGCTTCCCAGTGAGGAGTCCTTGAGTCCATGTGGAGCATTCGGGAAGCTGGAGGAAATGCCGGTCCATGCACCTCACCCCAGACGACTGGATCACAATGTGAGGGGAGACCTAAGGACCCTTTCTGCACAAGCTCCCAGGTGGCTCTTCCAGAGGTTGTCTGAAATGTTTTGGACCTCAAAGAGAACTAGTCCATATTTGTCACCTACCAATCTGGAACCGTGGACTCAATTCTGGCTGTACTTTAGGATCACTTGGACTTGCATAAAAATAGCCAGTGCTGGGGCTGGAGCGATAGTAAAATGGTTAGGGTGTTTGCCTTGCACATGACCAACCCAGGTTCGATTCCCAGCATCCCATATGGTTCCCCGAGCACCACCAGGAGTAGTTCCTGAGTGCATGAGCCAGGAGTAACTCCTGTGCATTGCTGGGTGTGACCCCCCCAAAAAAACTGTTCTTGTCCATCGTTTACAACTAATATTGTCAAATGGACCTTTCTCTTAACTGTCCTCCACCCTCCACACACTTGGGGTAATTTTTCTGCATCTGTATTGCAAACCATAATGCCTAAAATGAGAGCAAGAGGGAGAAAGAGAGGTGCCTGCTAGAGGCAGCCATGGGTGCGGGGGTGGTTTGAAGGGGTGGAAAACTGGGGACATTGGTGCTGGGAAATTACACTGGTGGAGGTATGGGTGTTGGAACATTGTATGACTGAAACCTGATCATGAACAGCTTTGCAGTGCTCTATCTCATGGTGATTCAATTAAAAAAAAAAACGGTTAAAAAATAGCCAGTGTGAGGGCCGGAGAGGTACCACAAGGGTTAAGGTGCTTGCCCCCCCCCCACCATGGCCAGCCCCCGTTCTATCTCTGGCTCCATCCCTGGGGCTGCACGAGGTTCTCTGAGTACTGTCCGGAGTGATCCCTGAAATCAGAGGCAGGAAGAGGAACTGAGCATGTTCAGGTGTGCCCGAAGTGAAAATACACTAATAAAAATAGCAAAATCTTGGGACTCCACTGCCAGAAATTTTCACTGCACAGGGCAGGGATGGGATCCTAGTGACCCTAACGTGCAGCCAGGCTGAAGAACAGCAGGAGTCTGGCAAAAGAACTGCCAGTCTGTGTGCCATGCACAGCTGTGCTTCCTGCCTCTTGCTCTTCTGGCCCTGGGGTGCTTAGCTATGCTCTCTCCATGTTGCCAAAGCTATTTATTTGAAGACTATTTAGCCCAAATGCAGCTTCACCAGAACTGCTCCAGGTTCTTTTCTCTCAATTCCCTGAAGCATCTTATTTGCAGTTTTCTTAGCACCGAATTCTCTGCTACCTTCAGCCATCACTTACCTTTTTTGGATATTCTGGGACACAGCGAGCCCCGAGAAGAGTGACTCACTCATGGTCACAAAGCCAGCACTGGGGACCAACTAGGTGGTCTCTCTGGGGAAGGCAAGAGAGTCCTTTGTAAAGAGAAACGTTTCCCTTTCAAATCGCTTCAGAACCTGCCACAATGAGAGGCTTTGGGTTTTGTATTTGTGTCTGAATTGCCTCTATTTTCTATTTAGGCGTATGAGTTTAGAATAAGAAAAGAGAAATCGTCAAGATTTGCAATTTTAGTCATGTCATGTGTCACCCCGGGGGAAGTTAATTCTGATTTTGGTCTCCAATACCCAAGCACAAATTGCAGCTCCAGTAATAAGATGAAAGCTTGGGAAAATAAGCACCTGGGGCTGATGAAAGTAATGTGTTTGTCTCGGGGCTGAGCCGCAGAGCTGGTGTTGGCGGGGCCTGTCAACGCCAAGCCTCTGCAGCCACCTTTGATGGATGTGCTAATCTTGGGGGGGTCACCACGCTGGCCTTGGCAAAGCACTGCGATCACTTATTGAAAAGGAAGCTGGTTTTTATAAATGGACATTCCGTCCACTTTCAGATTTTCATTCTCAAAAAATGTATTTGCTTATCAAAATCATGTTTGTGATGCAGAGTCTGCGCTTCATTCTACCTTTTCTAGAACAGAGACACACAGGTGAGCCGCTGGAGGGGGAGGTGGAACTGGGTGTTCCTGGCTCTCAGTTTTGTTACACCCTAGCTCTGGAGCGATAGCAGGGAACAATGATGTCCGACAAGGGATTTCAGAGCATCATAGACACTGCTAAGCGTCTGCGGAGAGGCCCGAGCTGACCCTTGGCCTGTTCCAGTGAAGAACGTTTTATTGAAACACATCCTTTATCTGTGGCTGAAGTTATGCGTGGCCACAAAGCAGGGCATCTTTAACCCGGGGGCCCTTGGGAGGGCAAGCACTACATACTGGCCTCCCTGGCCTGCTGGCAGCAGGCTTGGCTGTTGGGGGCGCGCTGAGTTCGGGTGCGAGAGGCTGACCTGTGTCTGCAGCGGGGCAGTTCAGCGGGGTGAATAACGATGGGCAGAGACAGGCAGGGAGCTCGGAAACTTTTAATGACCTGGACCCTAAGCTAATGAAAATAAAAACCCACAGAGGCAGACACGGCAGTGTTAGGTGAGGAAAAAATTCCCTTCTGCCGGCAATGGCCCTCCACCCTGCTGACCTGTGAGTGAGCAGAACAGCACCCTTACCCCCAGATCCAGGTCACGCGGCCCCCGTCCCGTTTCTCAGGCCATTCTCTGTGCGGGGAGGGGGACGTGGGGAGAGGGGACGTGGGGAGGTGGGGGAGGGGAGGGACAGCGGGGCCCCTGGGGCGGCACTCAGAACTTGAGCGGGATGACCGGCCAGTACTTGGGCCGCTTGCGGTCGCAATGCTTGTCAAAGCTCAATTGCATGGCCGCCTCCATGGCCTGGATCTTGGTGGCGCTGTCCCCGTAGAGGCGCTGCATGTCATCCAGGCGCCGCTCCCACACCCTGTCGTCGGGTGGCCCTGCTGAGCGCTGAGACCAATTGTGGTACAGGTCATGGTCAGCGTTCACGTAGTCTTCCAGGCGCTTCTCCTCCAGCAGCTGCTGCCGCTCTGTGGACAAACGGGTGGGCAAGACAGGGGTTACTGAGATCTGGCGTCCCTCATGGCCGTGAGAGGGGCAGCAGGAAGCCACCCCCTCACCCCTAGCTTTCCCTTCAGGCGCGCTGGACTCGCCGAGAAGCCCAACAGAGTCCAGTGCATGTTGCTGCTGTCTAGTCCGTTAGGAAGCTCGCCTGGTCCCCTGCAGCGAGAATGCATAACCCGAGGTCCCAAGCAAATGCATTTCACCAAGCCTCTCTAATGCAGCCTCTGAATGCAGGAGGCACGTGGCTCCCTCTCCTCTCCTCCCCACGCCTGCCCACCGAGTGCCCTGCTGGGAAGGACCGACTGAACTCAGTCTGTTCAAAATGCCGCCCCCAGCCAGCAGAGATGTACAAACCTTTCCCGCGAGTCACGTGTGGCGAGAAGGAGCCCATCTCACCATCAAAGGGCAGTGGGGGTGGGTGGGGCGGGGAACCCCGATATAATATGGAAATGAGTGAGTGCCAGTATGAGGAAAGACACTGGTGACCAACGGTGCCTGCGCACATGTGGGACACGCCGGGGGCAGGCAGGGAAAGGCAGAGGGCTGGACAATAGTGTGAGGGAGAGGCTTTCTAAGGCATCTGAGGACAGTCCAAGATGCACATCTGTAGTTGCTACTGTGACCAAGAGAAAAGCTACCAGAGGGGAGGGAAGATGGCCATAGGGAACCCAGAGGATGCTATGAATTATTCGTACTGAAAACCAAGTATCAAAAGGAAAGTTCATGTATGGACAGAGACACAATGGTGAATGAATGAGTATGAATGGGCAGATACTGACAGAACAGCCAAACTCCCGCTCTTCAGAGACCAGAGCACTGCAGAGTCTGAAGAAAGGAGTTTTCTACCCCGGGGTAGAGGAGCTGGAGCTAGAGTGGGTTATGCATTTCCATCCTTGGCAACCCATAGGGTCCCTTGAGCACTGCCAGGAGTAACCCCTGAGCATCACCGGGTGTGACCCAAAAAATCAAAATAAATTCATAGATGAATAAAATAACCCTGGGGGGAGACTGCAAGGATTCTGCCTGGCCACGTGGACGTGCTCATCTCTGTCGGCTCTGTGATTTATTACGGAAGGCAGTAATATACAGCCAAGCCAAATGGCTGTCAAACAAAATCTAATATAACTGCTATCTCGTCTTTGGAAAGCGTACAACTGACTCACCGTGAAATGCAGAACTGAGCCAGGATATTGGGCTAACAGGAAAAGAATGAGAAAGCAAGAAGCATCTCTCATGTTCGGTCTGGGCAGCAAGAATGAAATAGCAGGACGCCGTCTGTTCTGTCTTCTGGGAGGGCACATTCTATGCCCCCAGGAGTAATTTTTTCGCAGCTGTGGCATTCCCACATTCACCAGGGCCAGAAGGCTTCCTGTGCCACCTACCTGCCTTGGCCACTTGTCTGATCGGGAGGGCAGCGGCCCATGCTGGGATAGCCGAGCGCTTACGGGGCTCTCACCCAGAAAGCTGGGCTTCCCGGAGCACAGGCCTTCTTGCCCAACTCTCCGGGACTAGGCGGCCTTACCCATAGACCGCGCGCCTTCACAAATGCTTAAGTTCCTCTCTAAAGCGGAGCATGGGGTGAGCTGTTTTCAGGAACATGGGAATGAGAACTGCACCTTTTGAGTTTTGCATCTTGCTCTGGCTTGTCATCTGACAGGGTTCTAATGCTGCTTCTTTCTGCTTCTCTTCTGAGCAAGTTGAGCTGCCAGGTATAGGAAGGATAAAACAAACACCATGTGGGGCCTCGAAGGCGAAGGCTCTGCCCACAGGAGTGCTGCTCTCCCTCAGGGTGGCAAGGTGCCTTCTTCCCGCCCGGGCTGTCTCAAGGAACGTGAGGCCTGGCCCTTTTCCCCCAGCTCCCTGCCTTGCAGGAAGTTTGCGAGGGTCCTGGGGACCTGAGAAATGGGTGTGAGGGCGGAAGAGTGTCTCACTCTCGGGAGGGCCACTGTTACCTTTACTCACCCTGAGGACAGCTGGCTGACACAGAGCAGGTGCTCGGGGCGTGACTGCCCAAGCTGCCTAAAGGCCCTGCTGCACTTTTGTAAAGAGCTGCCTCTTGCAGATGCTGTTAAAGGAAAATGATGACTGGGGTGGTGTTGGGATTGTGAGAAACCGTTAATAGCTTTGTAAACGAGAGAATCTCAAAAAATTAAAAGAGAAGAGAAGAGAAGAGAAGAGAAGAGAAGAGAAGAGAAGAGAAGAGAAGAGAAGAGAAGAGAAGAGAAGAGAAAAGAGAAGAGAAGAGGATCTTGAAACTGAGGCTCGAGCCTCCCAAGGTCTCTGCCTGGGCCATCCTCAGCCAATATGGGAAACACCTGATGGAGGTGGTGACAGTTTCAAGGGTCGGCGGGAGAGCCCCTGGAGAGAAAAGCATCATGGGAAGTGATGCTAGGGTACCCACACCCCAGAAACCCCATGCAGGCCAGCTTGGAGGATGAGGCCATGAGTGTCCCAATGGGTTTCCCTCCGACCCCCTGGTTCTCTGGGGCGGGCCTCGGGAATGCCTGGACCCGCAGGAATGCAGGCACCACCGGCATAACTAGCACGGTTTCTGGCACGCCTTCCAAACTCAACCCAAGGCCTGGCACAGTGATAAGAGTGTCGTGAACCCTGAAGGCCGTGGGCAGCGTGGCCATGTGCCCAAAGCTCTCCCCCTGCTCTCTGGCCATGTCTTCTCATGGATGGCTTGTCCACCTCGCACAGCATCTGCGGCAAACACATGGGGCAGAACTGGCCCCAGCAGCAGAGGCGGCTCAGGCCAACCAGAGGTGCACGCTGAAACCCAAACTCCAAACTGTCCACTTGGGTGGACTCAACTGCACCAAGCCGATGTCTCCCCTCCAGTGTAGCAATATACCGGGCCCCACAGAGAGTAGCACAGCATTACCCCATTGGCCACCATCCTTCCAAGTCCAGAGTGCCTCCTTTCCCTATGACTTCCCCGGGAGCCCTCCTATGACATCTGGCTGGCTGTCTCTCTCCATGACACAGCAGCTGAAATAACCATGGGCCTCACTGTGGACAGCTCTTCTAGGCATCATGTTAAAGCTGATTTGGTTTCTATTCCCATCTGGGCTTAAGCTATTGGGGAACCTGTCCACATTTTGACCCAACAGCGACTCCCCAAACAGAGGCTATAAATATCTGGGTTAAGCCTTGGATAATAGTGACCCTGTTCATTTTTTGGGGGGAAGGGAGGGATGTCTTCCGTTGAAGTATTGGGAATAGAACCCGGCAAATTCCGTGGACAGCTATTTGAACGAAACACAAAGCCTCTTTCTAATCAAACTGTAAACATTTCCCCTAAGGAATAATAGCAAACGCGGTCTTCACAACCACAAGCTTCACAACTGACTACCATCTGTCATTAGTGATGCTACCACTGGGGCTTTGAAGAGTGGGGGAGGGGGGCCTCTATGAAATGATGCCCTGTGACATCATCAGGTGATGCCAATATTCACAGCAATTTTGCATGTCCCAAGTGGTGCTCGGGCGGTTTGGGGGCTCCGCCCGCTGATTCTTGGCCAGTGGGGTCAGCTGTTCAATGTGAGAGTTAGAGGATGTGGTGCTGTGCCCGTGGTCCATGAAGGCCACCTTGGCAGTACTAAGGGGCCTCTGGGGACCATATGTCGTGCTCAGAATCAACCTGGGCTGACAGCATGCAAGGTAAGCACCCTACCCGCCAGACTATCTCTCCAGCCCTATTAATCCTTTGGGTAGAATTTGACCTGAGTGAGGCAAGAGGCAGGAATAGAGGCACTGCTCATTTATAGCCCAAATTCAATTACTTTGATTTTTTCCCTTGTACAGGAATACCGTATTTCATTATTTTACTTCTCCCTCATTCCTAGCAAGCTTTTCTTGAATAACTATGTCAGGTTTATTTGGAATTAGCTGGCAACTCCAAATGGCCTCATCCATAATTATAACTTCTATCGCTGTGAACCACTCTGTGACTAAAAGAGTCACTCTTCTGAACAGGAAAAGCATCTTCTCCTACTTCCTGCTAGGACCACAGACCAAATGCTGTGGGAGTTTCCCTTTCGCAAAGCTGGAATATTGTTTGGAGCAAATGCTGTCAGGACTTGCTGTCAGCAAATTTCTCTCACTTGGGTTCAACTTTTTAATTAGATGATAGTTATTCTGTATGCTTTAGGTAAAAAGGGAAACATTTCTTTCTATACAGATCAAGGAAAGGTCTTCTGGCGGGGAGGAAGAAGTGGACTAGAAGTGTCAATGGTAGAGGGTCTTGGGCATGTAGGTGCAGTGATTTTGTATATCAAAACCATGAATGTCGATGTCATTGTAACCATGTTGCCTAAACTACTGTAAAAATTTAAAACAAAAAGAAATTATGCTATATGTAATAGAAGGCACTGTTTTAAATATAATTTCTTGGACAATATAGCGAACTATGGGAAAAAACCCAAATAGAACTAGTTTACGACCCAGTGATACCACTTTTTGGCATCTATTCCCAAAACAATGGAACATTCATTCAAAGGGATCTAGGTACACCTATGTTCACTGGCACATTTAGTACAATAGTCTAGATACAGAAACCATCTAAATGCCCAACTATGGATGAATGGATCAAGAAGTTGTGGTGTATATACACAATGGAATACTATGCAGCTCTGAGAAAGCACAAAATCATGCACTATGCAGCAATATGGATGGATTGAGAGAATATAATGAGTGCAGTCAGGTAGATACAGGATGCTCTCTTATCTGTGGGACTTAAAGGTACACAGTCAGGGAGTGACAAAGGGAACATAATGGGAGAACTGAGTCATACAACTGAGTTGCAGGGGCAGGGGCTTGAGAGGAAGGAGTGTTGGGGTCCTTGGGAGAGGGAGGTGGGTACACTGGTGATGGGTGGGGTGTTGGAATTATGTGCATGAGAAATCATTATCAATAGCACTCTATAGAGGCCAATAAAAATGAACAATTCCTTAGAGATACTGTCTAATATGATTAAAGTCAGCAGATTAGTCAAAAAAGGATAAGAAAACAACAGGGTGGAAAGTTTACCTAAGAATCTCAGGTTAAAAAGTTGATTGACCAATTCCTGACATCCACTGGAGGAAAATTTAGATAACTGAAGATGAAAACAAAACCTGCCCATTGCCACTCACCTATGTTTCTGTTTAGTAAAAATTCTAGGTAAAATATGTAATTAGATCTCAATTAAAAGAAATGCTAATCCTGGCCACTGATTAGAATAGAGGGGTTGGATAGTATAGTGGGTAGGGAAATAGTCTTGCATGTGGCCAACCTAAGTTTGACCACTGGCACCCCTTATGGCCCACAGAGCCCACCAGGAATATAATGAGCAACATACCCTGGGCACTACAGGGTATGAGCCCAAAACCAAACCAAACCCAAAACCAACCCCACCCCAAACCCTGTGGTTATAATAGAGAAAAACATTTGTATACTTGTAAGAAACACATCAAATGTCAAGACTTTGGTGAACTAAAAGCAATCTGAGATCTTCGTAACAAGTAAGGAATAAAAGAGGAGCCAAGAGAGTAGGGCAGGGTTTGATCCGGGGTGCCCCCTATGGGCTGTCCTGATAGGAGGGGCCCCCATATGGACAGCCAGGAGTAAGTTCTGAGTACAGTCAGGCGAGTCCCCCCAAAAACAAGCCAAAGGAAAAGGAAAAAAAAAGACAAAAGGTCAATTTTCCTGCTTTCTCATGGGATGACCGTCACCCCAATTCTCCAACCCCAGGACAGAGGCTGCTGTGGGTGCGGGCTGAGCCTCGTGTGTGGCCACTGTTTAGGGGTGTCTAGTCCAGGCCGCTTCTCCCTGGAAGGGAGTGGCGTAGTTGAAGATGCACCCTGGTTTGACACACTGAGTTGGGAGCAGCAGTTTCAGGATCCATCCAGCAAGTTTGTTTTTGATTTGGGGGTCACACCTGGCAGTGCTCAGGGCTTCCGCCTGGCTCTCTGCTCAGGAATCACTCCTGGTGGGCTGGAGGGAGCATGTGGGATGTCGGGGATCGAACCTGGGTTGTCTGCATGGCAGGCCAGCGCCCTAGTCTGCTGGACTATCATTCTGACCCCAGGATCTACCAACTTTGATAACAAAACCTCGTCCCTACCTTGGTGCTAAAGGAAGAGGCTCAGGATTTAAAGCCACACAAAGCTTGGGTTGACTGCTAACTACAACCCAGATCCATCACCCTCTGACAGCGTACAACTGTCATTTGTAAAAAGGCTTGTTGGAACAGCTGACAATCAACAAATAGTCCATCGGACCTGTCTGTAGCAATTGAAACAAAACCAGGTCTTGTAGGGTAAACAAGGCCGGCTGTGCCAGTATGGGTTTCCTCAGTTTGGGTATGGCCTGGACTCGTGCGTGCCCACAGCAGGAGTCGGAAAGAGACAGGGCAGAGAGGGGAGGCCGCAGGGTGTACTTACTCCGCTCCTCCTGGTGCTTCTCAGTCTGTGCAAAGTAGTCACGGAGCTCCTGGGTGATTTCCATGTTGCTGACATCGCATTCCACCCCTTCAGAGTCAGATGACGAGGACACCCACACTGATGATGAGGACGATGATGGTGATGACGATGGCGATGATGCCGACAGCTGGGTTTTGCGTTGTGGCCGGGACCGCACCTTGCGTCTGGGTGGGGAGGAGCTGTGCTGGGAGTCCCAGTCCTCCACGGGGTGGCCGCGGTGCTGAGGAAGTTCCCCGTCCTCGGCATCAGACGTGTGGGCCTGAGCTTCAGCGGCCGAGTACCAGAGGGCACTGTAGTAAACCTCCAGGGCCTTCCTGTAGGCGAGCTGGTGGCTTCGCATCCACGTCATAGCCTGATGGTAATGCTTCCAGTACCGTTCATAGGCGGGGTGAGAAGCCCACTTCCTGCTGGGGGCCTCCGACCTGGCCTGCAAAATGAAGGGAGCTGGAGGGGACTGCGAGAGGAATCTGCAGTGTGGAATCAACTGGCCCAGGTGCTTGCCCGGAGAGCTGGCAAACCCTCTAGGAAGAAGGCTAGGGGCAGCGCCAAGGCTGGAGGTACAACAGGCACCCTGCTCTGGAGGCCAGGGAGATGGCCCAGCTCCGAGTGGCATAGGAAGGGACACCCGACCACCGTTTGCTAGAAGCTGCAGCGACAGGTCAGCTGCCGCGACTACATGCTGCGCCCTCTCCTTCTGCTACGGTCAAATGAGAGGCTCCAAGTTAGAAAGACGCTCCCCCCTCGCCTGGCCCCCCCACTACCTGTCGGCTGAGGGCGGCATCTCAGGGCCTGTGACAAAGGAGGCCTCCCGAGGCACCCAAAGTTGCTTCTGCTTTCTGCTGGCGGATGTGTTGTTTTGGTCTGCTCCAGCTCGGAATGAGAACCGTCAGACTAACATGACCCGTTTTTCTCTGACATGGAAAAGAAAAGGCTTACCTTTGCCGACATCTTTGATGGCGAATGTCCAAATGCCGGGGCACTAGCACAGAAGCAACAGGAGAGACATTTGGTGAGCACGGGAGGGGGGGGGGCACATGCAGACAACCAGAGCCTTTCCCTTCCTCCTACCATGCCCCATGGTGCTGTGCGGCCTGACCCTGGCAGTGGGAGGGGCGCTCACAAAGGCAGGGGTGCCCTTGGGGCTAGACAGTGGCTCAAAGGGCCTGGAGTTCCCATTTCAAGGACTTGCTTCCTGATGGGAAAAGGAAAGTGCATAGGAAGACACGTGCACATAGTGTGGAGTTAGTCTAAATGAATAACACAGCGCTGTAAGCATTACTTAGGAAAACGAAACCCTTCCCCCCTGCCTAGTTAAGCCTGGTTTCTTGGAGATTTGAACGCAAGAGAATAGATGCTGCCAACCCACTTGAATTGGGTCTTGCCTAAGAAAGAGGCTTCGAGGGGCTGGAGGTAGGTAGAGCAGGTAGGGCGTTTGCCTTGCACGTGGCTGACCCAGGTTCGATCCCCAGTATCCCATATGGTCCCCTGAGCACCCCCAGGAGTAATCCCTGAGTGCAGAGCCAGGAGTAAACCCTGCACATTGCTGGGTGTGACCCAAAAAGAAAAAAGAAAGAAAGAAAGAGAGAAAGAAAGAAAGGAAGGAAGGAAGGAAGGAAGGAAGGAAGGAAGGAAGGAAGGAAGGTTGGTTTCGGAAACGGTTCTCTCCAGCCTGGCTGTGCCCTGCGCCTTAAGCAGTGCGCCCTCTTCAGGCCAGGCTTTGCACAGCAACCAGCCCAACAGAGATGGGAGCCCTCTGGGCCGGACCACTGCACCTTGGCAGGAGGGGGCTGCCGTGCGTAGTCTTGGTGGACTGCTGGGACTCCTTCCTCCTGCGTGCCTCCTGTCATGTTCAGAGAGAGACAGCAGGAAACAACACCTACAGCCCAGGCTTAAATCTACATCTACCTTCTACCACGGATTTAAAACAGTCAAGCATTTTCTTTCCCAAGTTTTGGGGCCCCATCTGGCAGTGCTCAGGGATCACTCCCGGTGGTTCTCAGAGGACCATGCCAGGCCTTGAGAATGCAAAGCATGTGCTCCAGCTTACTGAGCTCTCTCGGCTGGAAGAGTATTTTTTTCCTGTTCAGGGGTTCAGAGCAAAAAACAAAACAAAACAAAACAAAAAAACAAACCAGCTGACACTAGGATGCACTTAAAGAAAAGTTAACTGTATCCTGAAATGCATAAGAATTTCACCATCTGAAGCAAGAGCACTAACTCACCGTGAGACTGAGCCAATGGCTACTTCAGTTCGGAAAGTTTGGAAATCAGATACCCATGGCGTCCTAGCTTTCCTACTGCACTTAATTATAGGATAGAGTTTTAAAATCCCCAAGCCTTAAGAAGTAAACTTGACTTACTTTGTAATATCCAGCAGATATTTTGCTATGGTTAATGGTGAACACCGAGATGTTCAATTTATTACTTCTAAGATTTAGCCTCAGGAGGACTATTCACTGTGTTTGGTTTTATGGGTCACACCCAGCAATGCTCAGGGGTTCTCCTGGCTCTGTGCTCAGGAATTACTTTTGGCGGTATTCAGGGGACCTTATGGGATGGCAGGGATCTAACCTAGGTTGGCCGTGTGTGAGGCAAACGCCCTGCCCACTGTAGAATCGTTCCGGTCCGCTATTCACATTCTTTTACAATAAGGTAAGTCTTTACATCCGGGATCTCCAAGAGGGTGGCAATGGCCATCTGTAAATCTAGTAGAAATGGCCAACATTTCTCCCCCCCCCCTTTATTTGGGGGTGGGCCACACCTAGTGGTGCTCAGGGGTCACTCCTGGTGGGGCTTGGGGGACCATGTAGGGTGCAAGAGATCATTAAACTCAGGTCGGCCATGTACAAGGCACGCATCCTACCCGCTTGACCTATCATTCCTGCTCAAAACAGCCCACACTTTTTAAAAAATTTTTTTTAGTGAAACACCATGAGGTACAGTTGTAGACTTACAAATTTTTGTGCTTGGGTTTCAATTATACAATGATCAAATACCCATCCCTCCACCAGTGCCCATTTCCTACCACCACAGGTCCCAGTATCCCTCTCACCCCCCATCCCCCCCACCCCACCCTGCCTCTGTGGCAGGGCATTCCCTTTTGTTCTCTCTCTCTTCTTTTGGGTGTTGTGGTTTGCAAAAGAGGCATTGGGTGGCAATCATGTTTGGTTTATAGTCTACTTTCAGCATGCTTCTCCCATGCTGGGAGGATCCTCCCAACACCCTTTATTGGTGCTCCCTTTTCTATCTGAGCTCCCCTTTGGCTGCTCGACATTCAGGAACACCGGAGACATTAGTTAAAGTAAGCCAAGTGTAGTGAACGTAAACTGAAAAAACAACGGAAAAATAACTAACAACTGCACTGAAAATATAAGTGTAAACTAAATTCACATTACTTTTTGACTATAATTTAAAGGTTGAAAACACGAGCAATTACTTGAAAACACCCGTTAACTGCTTTCGAGGCTACTGAAGAAATATTAAAAGTCAATATAATTAAGGGACTAATGACCCGGAGAAGTTCAAGTGACACAGACGCGATGAGAGTAGAAATCGGTACAAATTTCGGCGGTGAATTCCCTCCAGCCAGGTTTCAGATTTCTATCTCTGAAGTTGGAACAGTCAAGAACTGGTCGCACATCCTGATAAAATGTCAATTCCATGTGCATCTTAATCAAACCTGCTCCCGCGATTACCAAGTAGCCTGTAAAGTAAGAAAGCCGAGGAGCCAGGCCTGGAGCGAAAGGATAGCGGGAGGGCACTTGTCTTGCATGTGGCCCACCCAGGTTCCATCCCCAGCATCCCAATGTGTTTCCCTGAGCACCCCCAGGAGTAGTTCCTGAGTGCAGAGCCAGGAGTTACCCCTGAGCACAAGTGGGTGAAACAAAGTGGCTATGAAACAAAAATAAATGAAACCAAAAAAGAAAAAAAAAAAGAAAAATCTAAGAGACATCTGTGGGTCTGGAAATTGAAAACTGCTCATTTTGTAGTTTGGGGGCCACGCCCAGTGGTGCTCCTGGCTTACTCCTGGCTTGGCACTCAGGGATCACTCCCAAAAGGTTTTTGGGAACCATATGGGGTGCTGGGGAATCGAACCTAGGTCGACCATGTGCAGGACAAGCACCCTACCCGCTGGACTACCACTCCTGCCCCTCCCTGTTGCATTTTTATACAAATAAGCTTAACCCCTGTACTCTTTACTATGAAATACAATTATGTATTTTGGGGTTTGGCGCCCCTCCGGGTGGTGCTCAGGGCTTACTCCTGGCTCTGTGCTCAGGGATGACTCTTGGCAAAGCTCGGGGTGCCAGGGATTAAACACCGGTCAGCTGCTTGCAGGCAAGTGCCCTACAAGCTGTACTGGAGCTTCAGCCCTGGAAAATGAAAGTTCTGAATCCAGATATCGAAGGCTCACGAATCAAAGAACCAGATTTCATAGAACCAGATCATTGAAAGCATCACTTGTCCCCACACTGGGAAAGTGTGACAGTCTCAAACAGGTAAAGACACACGAACAGCATTGGACACAGCTGAGGGCATTGGGAAGATGTGCTTGTGTGTAACTGGCAGCCTGGCTTCCAAAGGAGTATTCCCAACGGCCTGAATATTCATGAGAAGGGTTCTGAGGTTCTATTTCATGCGACAGAAGTTGGGGAAGGTGCGATAAAGCAGAAAACTATTTGAATTCCAAGTGGCGTCCAGAAGCCTTCCCCTGTTCTAGGCTCAAAGGGGCAGATTACTTATTCATGCTTTTAATCCAACAAATAATATGCAAGAAGTGCTATCAGTTTCTGTGGCCTCAGAGATCACCTGTACTATTAGTGGAGCACTTTGGCAAGAGAGAAGCCAGACACCAACCTCCTTCCCCTAAGCTGAAGTAACTCAAGAAAGTCAAGGGCGGGCCAGAGCCATATAGTACAGCAGGTTGGGCTTTCACCTTGCATGTGGCTGACGTGAGTTCGATCCCTGGCATCCCATATGGTCCCCTGAGCCTCGCCAGGAGTGATTCCTGAGTACAGAGCCAGGAGTAACCCCTGAGCAATGCCAGGTGTGACCCAACAAGCCAAAAAAAAGAAAAAGGAAGTCAAGGGCAGCATTGAGACCTGGAGCCATTCCGGCCCACGGCTATATTGTGGGATCATACCTGGCTGGGCTTACTCCTGGCTCTGTGCTCAGGGATCCCTCCTGGTGGTGCCTAATGGACCATATGGGGAGCAGCGGATGAAACTGGCTGGTGTGCAAGGTAAAAGCCTTAAGTCCTGCAGAATGAATCAGTCAGCCAAGGCACCAAGAGACCAAAGCCAGGAAGGAAAGGCGTATTTATGTTAATGAGGAGAGAAGAGCATCTCTGGCCTGGAGGTGATTCAATGCAGGCAGCAGCATCTGGACAACCCAGATCATCAGAACCATATCTACTGCCATTCTCCAGTGAGTTTAGAGTCTGGAGGTTATAGGAGTTTCATGCTCATTGCACTCTCAGCTGTATTATTTTCCCTTCCTTGGTTCTAAGACCTGTTGTACCAAACCCTTTCACACTATAAGTTATTTCTAAGATTCTGAAAGTCACGTAGACAATTTGATTAGAAACAGTTCAGGAGAATGAATTACGAAGTAATAATTCATTGCTCAAAAACAATTAGACACGGTGCTGCAAACAAAATCCTATGGAACATTCTCTCGAGGAGGGCACGGAGTCTGCTAGATGCCAATGCACTCAAGCAGCAAGCAGGGTTCTGAGTGTCTCACCCCTGGCAGAAGAGGTGACACCCCCTTTCTGGCCAACGGGCATCACTTGGCTCTCTAAAAAAACGGGCCTGACTTGCTTCGAGAAGCTGATGACACTTGCCACACAGCCAGCTGAACGACCTGGGACGTCACAATGGCAATCACTGGTGGCATCAAGGTTCCATTTCCGGACCCCGCTACCATACCCAAGAAAAGCCAGCATCGTTCGAGCAGACGGAGACGCTCTTCCGGTGGCCTGGTCTTTCCTTTCCACCCCTCACCGCCCTGTGAGCATCTCCTGCTCTTTGACGGGCCTCTCGGGGGGCCAGCGCTGCTCCTTTTCTCCTGGGAGAGAGGAGCTGAAAGAAAAGAGGTTGGCAATGGCAGGCAGGCCCGCAGCCACAGCACTACCAAGCGGGCGGTTCTCCCAGGGAGCACAAAGGCCTAACAGTCCAGCCCCAGCTGAACCCCGGCGAGGACAGAGAGCGGATTCATTGTCCGTCCTCAACCACCCGGGAAAGGAAGGAAAAAAACAGCGTTGATGTCATTCAGTGGACCGCCAAGGCCCGCAGGCAAAAGACAGTGTCTCTGAGCCATACACTTACCCATATGCAGTCACTCTTCAATGACTCGTTTATCCCGGAAGATGCCTATTCCAATGCATAAATATACATGAAGAGCGACACACAAGAGCTTTGTGGATCTCAGTGCATGAAATGGGCCTGTTTCCATCAAGCGGGTAAACAATCCCACAAATAAGGAATGAGGCTTTGTTTTAAGGTGATGGCATCGTATGTCCTACTTGGAGACTTATAAAAGACACGATCTAGGCAGCCTCACGGCAGCCAGACAGGATAGAACCACACGTTCCCTTCCAGACAGTACGGAACCCTCTTGCCTCCCTTAGTCTGGGGTCCTGGGAGGCAGAGGCCCAGGAAGTCACCAGCTTTGCCTTCTGCTGAGAAACCCACCGGAAGTCGATTCTGAAATGAGAGTGTGCGGGCCAGAGTGCAAACACTCAGACAAGGCTTCCCGCCATTTGGTTCTGGGGGCCAGCTAATTTGGGGGAGGGGGGCAGCTGTGTGTGGCCTTACTACTTGTTTCACTGCAGAAAGAAAGGGGTCTGCTGGAGAGCAAGCTGCATAAACGATGGAGACGCGTGACAGTCAGTCGAATCTCTCCAGATACAAGAATAACCTATCAGCAAAGGTTTCCAGGACTGCACACAAAGGACACACTTTTGCAACCAGGGTAAGCCACCAGATGAGGTTTAGGAGAGCTGCTTCTTCCCTCACTTCCAATGAGGCTGATGGGTTCATTTGGCACTCAAGGGCGCCCTCCTGTGGCTTTGGGTGGTTCCTGCCTACTATCTTGCATCCCCAAGAGGGCTCGAGGGTGAGGGGCCTTCATCCCCTCTGGATGACAAATCATCCAAGATCCATATATTAAAATGTCTCTTTGTTTTTGGTCTGGGGCCCACACCTGGCACGGCTCCAGGACCAGTCAGAGTACAGTGCTCAGGAGAAACTCCCACTGGTACTCAGGGCCTGTTGTGGTGCTGAGGCTCAAATTCTCACCTCCCTCATGCAAAGCATGTGCTCAGCCCATGGAGCTGTCTACTGGACCCCCCAATGCACCTTTCATCCAGAAACAGGCCCCCATCAATACTTGGGGGTGGGGGCGGGGGTTCAGAAAGCCTGTACCACTGTCTGTAAGAGCCAGCCTTAAAACCAATGAACAAGGGAGGTGAAAAATCACTTACAATTCTTTTGTAGTCACCCCCCCCCCCAGCAACCCCAAGTCCAATTCACTCTTTGGAAGTTGCAATAAGAATATCACAAAAGAAGGCACAGCAGGGAGGAGACGGCAGGGAGGAGACACAAAGGCTGGAGCTAACAATTCTTCTTTCTTAAATAGAAATAACATTCCACCCACAGCTGGGCATTGTTTGCTTTGTCAGCAAGGCCTAGGGATTTGTGAATACATTTATTCCCAAGTTCACCAAATCCCCATGTGACCAGGGCCGGAATCAGAAGTGAAATATGAGGCCACCCCAAAACAAAGTTTCCCTCTGACTCAACAACAGGCCATGGGAGAGCTGGAAACTGGGCTCCCGGGGAAGGCTATAAAATAATAGGGTTCAGGGGTGGAGGGCGGGGAAAGAAGACAGTCATAGAGTTCAAAGCAGGAAAGAGATGAAGTCCCTCTCCCGCCAAGCACAAACGCCCATGCAGCAGAACCTAGTGGAGCAATACAGGAAGAGCTGGAAAGGGCCGGAAATGCAAATTAGGAGTGTATCAGGTCCAGGGCCGGATGTGGCTCCCGAGCACTGTGCAAGCTTTGGACGTGAGCCCCCACTTCACCCCGGGCACCCCATCTGCCACTTGTGGAAAGTGGCTCAGACCAGTAGGCTTCAGGAGTTTGACTTCTGTAACACACATGTGAGGTCCATGTTAGTCTCCTTTCCGAATTTAGCCCGCCCTCATCATCTGGTCATCTCATCAATTCTACAGATGCAGGGAAATCTGTGACCCATTTCTTTGAAGTTTCCTATTTTTCCTTTCAGCATGAAAAACCACAGTGCCTGTTTCTTGCCCTTGGATACTGCCTGCTGTTTCCTGGCAACTGGTGCTTACTCAGTTTACCACCCTAAACTTGTGGGGTAGCAAGGAATTCAAACCGCGGCTACAAAGTTCTGGGGCTTTCCGAGAACTGGATACAGAAATACACCCTATGTTTACAAAGATCTTTCCTGGGCCTCCGACGCTTGATGAAGATGAGTTAAACCCCTTTTCGCTGTTTCTGGATGGGACTTAGCACTGACAGAGCTCATGTCGCCTAGTCTCCCCAACCCCATGGCCTCCAACAGTGCTCCGTACTCCCCCCTCCCCCACCGCCAGTCGTCCACCGTTGGATCCTAAACATCATACACCTTCAGCATCAGTAAAACCGTGTCTTTCTCAGCGGGCCCGCTTTCCCTCGCACCCAGCCCATTACTAGCCACCTTTCAAGACAGGGTTTCTCAAAATAGAAGACTAGCACCCAAGAATAGCAGAGTACCAGGTTTTAAGTACCAGGAGGTTTACTCCATGGTTTGGAGGTCAGCCGCACACCCTGGGGGAAAACGCAGCTCAGATAGAGAAGGGAGGACCAAATAATGTGTTTATCTCCAAATAAATACTTTATTTGGAGATGCGTGCTGAGAGTAGACTCTAGACCAAACATGATTGCCACTCAATGCCTCTTTTGCAAACCACAGCGCACAAAAGGAGAGAGAGAACAAAAGGGAATGTCCTGCCACAGAGGCAGGGTGAGATGGGGGGGACGGAGGTGGAGTGGGAGGGATACTGGGATCCATGGTGGTGGAGAATGGGCACTGGTGGAGGGATGGGTCCTCGATCATTGTATAAATGAAACCCAAGCACAAAAGTTTGTAAATCTACAACTGTTCCTCATGGTGTTTCACTAATAAAAATCTAAAAACAAAACAAAACAAACAAACCAGGGTTTCTGTGCAACACCCCCCAAAGGGGATTTGACTCTGACAAACTTCTAGAAGAAACCGTATTCGGTGCTGTTGGAGGTGACTTTTAGCTCAGTGTCCACTCTCCCCAGAAGAGTGGAGAACCAAGCATGGGAACCAATAAGTGTGGGGATGAATGAAACCCAGGCCTCCATACGCGCATGCGCAAGGCCTACTCAGCCCCTTGGGCTCTGCTGCGTGTGAAACGACTTTTTAAATTTTCGTTTCGGACCACACCCGACAATGCTCAGGGCTTACTCCTGGTTCTGCAGTCTGGGTATCACTCCTGGCAGGGTCGGGGAATCCTCTGGGGTGCCTTGGTCGAACCCGGGTCCCCCGTGAGCCAAGGCAAGCACCCTAGCTGCTGTGCCATCTGTCCTGCCACGACCCCCCGCCCCCATTCAAGGGTTCTCCCCAAACTCCCAGCCAGAAGGCCAGCGAGTGCTCCTGTTCAACTCTTCAGGGTACTACGGCCTGGAGTAGTTAAGAGTGGCGGGCACGGCCGACGACTGGGCCTGGCGTGGGGAAAGCACTGTGAAGTTCACCCCAGCACGTCGGGGGAGGAAAGGGGTGGGCAACCCCTGATCGGGGCTGCGGAACGCACTGCTCCAAGGCAGTTTTGGCATGCAGGTTCAACTCCACCGATCGGTTTCACCGCCAAAGCGGACACCGACGTCGCGCCTGCGCAGAAGCAGGCGCGCGTGTACGCGCCGTCGGCCAAGTTCCACCCGCGTCACCCCCGCCCCCCCGCCTCCTCCCGGGGCCCAGGGAAAGAAGGGACGCGCTGATGTAAACACGAGGCTGCCGGGGGGCGCCAACAAGACCCCACGGCGTCCTGAGCCAACCCAGGCCCAGACGGCTGGGTTCGAACCCGCCGCGCGGCCGCGCCTACCGGGATCGGGTTCGAACCCGCCGTACAGGGATCCGGGAAGTCGCCCCCCAGGACGAGGGCATCGGGCCCCTCCCACACGATCGCCGAGAACCCCCCTCGCCCCTAAACCCCCACGGCCGGCCCCGGGCTGCGCCCCCCGCACCCCTTTAGTCACCTCGTGGCCGCGGCCCGGGGGTCCCGCGCGGGGAGGGGCGTGCTCTGTTGCCGAGCGACGGGCTGCGCAGCTTCCGGCGGGGCCGGCGGGGCCGGATGTTCCAGGAGTGACGTCACGTCCGGCCGCGCTGCGTGGCGGGCGGGGCTGAGTGGCGGCGGGTTCCGCCCTCGGGGTGGCCCGTGGGAAAGACAGAGGCGGGCCCCGCCTCCCGGAGCTGGGCTGGACTGGGGCGATCGGTCCTCGAGCATCCCCCGCACGCTGACGCCTGCTCGCACCCTGCCCCTTCCAGCCCTCCCCAGGCCCCCTGCATCTTCCCTGGTATTTGGGGGCCACACCCAGAGATGCTCAGGGCTGACTCCGGGCCCTGCACGCAGGAGTCACTCCTGGCGGGGCTCGGGGATGGACCCGAGTCTGCCTCCTTGGCCCCAGCCTGCCGTTATTTACTGGGGCGGTGCAGAGCTTAGGTTGGGGGCATCGCAGGAACAGTTTCTAGTTTGATCCCACCGCTCCCTCCTCCTCCCCGCCCATCTTGGGTCCTGGGTCCAAGAGCTCGGAACACCTGACTCGGTGCCTGCCTCCCCAAATGGCACCAGCGACTCCTGCAAGTGCTAATTTCTACCTCTCAGCACAGTCCCAACTCATCCCAACGCTATGCTGCCATGCCTCTCCGGTGAGCGAGCGTTGCCTGAAAGCGGGAATGCTTTGCCCTGGAACTTTTTACTCCTGGGACTTTATTCCAAGTACAGCGGGTAGAGCTCTTGCCATACGCAGGTTTCTCGCACCGCATAGGATCCCCAAGCTCTGCCAAGAGTTAATGCCTCAGTGCAGAGCTGGGAGTAAGCCCTGAGCATCCTTTGGTGTGGCCCAGAATCCCCCCGTTTTATTTTAAATAAATCAAAGTTTGTCAATAGACCGTTTAGATTAGATCCTGAAGACTTTGTTAAAAATTATTTAATTTTTAAATTTTTTTATTTTTTAATTTTTGCTTTTTGGGTCACACCCGGCGATGCACAGGGGTTATTCCTGGCTCATGCACTCAGGAGTTACCCCTGGAGGTGCTCTGGGGACCATATGGGATGCTGGGAATCGAACCCGAGTCGGCTGCGAGCAAGGCAAACGCCCTACCCACTGTGCTATCTCTCCAGCCACTGTTAAAAATTATTTTAAAATGTCCTTCTAGGGGCCGCAGTGATAGTACAGCAGGTAGGGCATTTGCCTTGCACGCGGGCCGACCTGGGTTAGATCCCCGACATTCCATATGGTCCCCAGAGCACAGCCAGGAGTAATTCCTGAGTGCAGAGCCAGGAATAACCCCTGAGCATCGCCGGGTGTGATCCAAAGAGAAAAAAAAAAGTCATATCTCCATTTGATTGAGAGGCTTTTATAATGGATATTAAGTCTTGGCAAAAGATTTCTCTGCATCTATTAATATATAATTAAAGTTCTTTATTAAAAGAGTTGTGATACTTGTTGATCGTTGAGTCTTGGGCATATAATATTCCAACACCAATCCCACCACTAGTGTCCACTTCCCTCCACCAGTGTTGTCATGCTCTGGCTCAGGCCCCCAAACCAAGCCTCTTCACAGGCACCATTCGAAGTCCAGTGATTGGGGCTGTAGTGATAGCACAGTGGGTAGGGCATTGCCTTGCATGTGGCCAATAGGGGTTCAGTCCCCAGCATCCCATATGGTCCCCTGGGCACCTCCTGAATGCATATCCAGGAGTAACACCTATCATGCTCAGGGTTTACTCCCAGCATCACAGGGTGCCTCCAAGCCCCCCCCCCCAAAAAATCAAGCCAAATGAAATTTGGTGATTGGCGATAGTTTAGTTCTCACGTTGACAGCGTTGTTGAGTCTGTGCATTGGGCAGCTATACCGCTCTCCAACATCACCAGAATGACTGAATCTCCTGCACCCTGCTCACTTTTTCTCATCTTCCTCCCCTTCTGCAACTTTTTTCCTTCTCTTTCTCCTCCCTGAACTTGGGTCAAGGATGATCTCGGCACCCCCCCCCCCTTTACTGCACTGCATTCTCTCTTCCAGTCATTGCACACACCACAGAGAAGTGAGATCGCCTGTGTTGGTCCTTCTGACTTCCTTCACTCAGCAGGATGTCTTCCACTCCCACTCCATCCTATGCCAGGGTGTTTATCCTAGGTCCTTGCCCATGGTCCGGCTTGAGATGTGCTCTCCTTACAGTGGGAGAGAAAACTCTCTCCCCATCCTAATGAATGTCTGGGCTGGGTTAAAGGAAACGGAGCTTAAACATGCCTTCATTTTAAAACTCTGGGGTGGAGCTGGAGTGATAGTACAGCGGGGAGGGCTTTTGCCTTTCACGCGGCCAACCCAGGTTCGATTCCCAGCATCCCATATGGTCCCCTGAGCACCACCAGTGGTGATTCCTGAGTGCAAAGTCAGGAGTAACCCCTGAGTATTTCCAGGTGTGACCCAAAAAGAAAAAAAAACCCTCTGGGAACATGACATCTAGAACATGAAATAAAAGGCACATGTGAGGGTAGGCTCTTTGCCCTGCCAGACAAGATGAGTTTGGATCTTGTCTAGAACATGAACACGCCATGGAGAGCCCAGAGAGCACATGGAGCAGAAACAAAGGCATCCACGGGGCGCTGGTGCCTGCCAGGAAAGTACGGTATGAAGGGAGGCAGGTACTTCTGGGGGTATGGAGGAAGGGAAGGAAGGAGAGAAGAGGGTAAGGCGGTGTGGTGGGACCCTAGGAGGGCCTCTCCTGGGGAGAGAAAAGCAAGCACGACTGGAAGGGGTTGCTTCAAGTGATCAATTCTTGGAGGGTTGTGGGCCACTGCTGAGGATGACTTCATTATCAGATAGTAGAGCTTGTCTCTTAGACAGGGTCAGGAACATCTGGAAGGGAGGGAGGGAGGGAGAGAGAGAGAGAGAGAGATCATTGGTCATTGGTGGTGGGAAATGGACACTGGTGGACGGATGGGTGTTGGATCATTGTATGACTGAAACCTGGTCATGAACAGCTTCATAACTGTGTATCTCACAGTGAGTCAATTAAAAAAATTAAAAGAGAGAAAAAAAGAATGTCCAAAGTTCCCCTTACCTGGTCCTAAAGGAAGAGGCAGAAACCTCATTTAGAAATCTACTCGCAAGGCTGGAGCACAGGGGGTAGGGCGTTTGCCTTGCCCGCAGCCAACCCAGGTTCAATTCCCAGAATCCCATATGCCCCCCCTCCCATAGAATCCCATATGCCCCCCCAGCACCACCAGGAGTAATTCCTGCGTGCAGAGCCAGGAGACCCAAAAAGAAAAAAAGAAAAGAAATCTACTCGAAGCCACAAGGCGTGCCTCAGGGGATGAGTCTTTTTTTTTTTAATTTTACTGAATCACCATGAGATAGTTACAAGCTTTCATGTTTGGGTTACAATCACACAATGATCAAACACCCATCCCTCCACCAGTGCACATTCCCCACTACCAATGTCCCTGGTATAACTCCCCTTTCCCACCCTCCCCCTGCCTCCATGGCAGAGAATATTCCCGATACTCTCTACTTTGGGGCATTATGGTTTGCAATGCAGATACTAAGAGGTTATCATTTTTGGTCCATTATCTACTTTCAGCACACATCTCCCATCCCGACTGGTTCCTCCAGCCATCTTTTTTTCAGTGATCCCTTCTTTATTCCAGCTGCCTTTTCCCCTTTGCTCATGAGGCAGGCTTCCAGCTACAGAGCAATCTATCTGTCCTGTGTATCTACTATCCTTAGGTGTCAGCCTCATGCTATGTTGTCTTATACTCCACAAATGAGTGCAGTCCTTCTATGTCTGTCCCTCTCTTTCTGACTCACTTCACTTAGCATGATACTCTCCATGTCTATCCATTTATAAGCAAAGTTCATGATTTCATCTCTTTTGACAGCTGCATAGTATTCCATTGGTTATATGCAGATCCTGCCTTCCCAGCCTGCTGGGGAAAGTGCCCCCCTGCCTCCTCCCCGCCTACAATGTCCAGCTGGCAACTTTGCAGGTGAGGCAGCTGCGCTCTTTGTCAGACCCGCCACTGTCTCCCATCTTCCGAGCTGCGGGACCATGAACTGCATCCTCGAGGCATGGGGATGGGACCGGTTATTGGAAGCATCTGGGGCCCAGCGCCGTGGAAGGAGAGGCTGTGCCGGCAGAGGCAGAATCGGTTCTGTCCGATGGGGGACGAGTCAGACCCAGGACCCAGGGCTGACCCCGCCTCGCTGCCTGCTCCAGGCTGCCCTAGATGCTGCCTTGGGTCCGGGATGGGGGCCTGCAGGAAGGGGGACCGAGGGCCTCTAAGCTGGGGCTTCTCAGCCTCCACCCTTCTCTTTGGGAACAGGACTGCCTCATCTCCTGGGGGCTGTCATCCATTGCCCTCCCAAACAGTCATAGCCACGACCCAAACTGATACCATTTAGTTCCAAACGGCCTGTGGGAAGGGCGCCAAGTTCCCCCAACCCCCCCCCCCCCCCCCCCGTGAAGAAGCAGCACTGAAAGGTCATGAGGCAGAAGTTATTCGTGAGGGATTGGCTCTGAACCCCAAGCCTGGCCGTGGGTGGCCAAGAGAAGGTGGCCCGAGCCGGCTGATTCTGCCCCAGCCCTGCTGTGCCAGGCTCTGGGGGACACGTGGCTGTTGGAACAGGAGGGCCTATTCTTTGTTGTTGTTATATTTATTAATTTGTTGCTTTTTTGGGTCACACCTGGCGATGCACAGGGGTCCCTCCTGGCTCATGCACTCAGAAATGACTCCTGGCGGTGCTCGGGGGACCCTAGTGGTTGCTGGGAATCGAACCCGGGTCGACCGCGTGCAAGGCAAATAGCCCTCCCCGCTGTGCTGTCGTTATTTATTTTGTGATCTTTCTTCAATCTTTATGGATTGAAGTTCTGTGAGTTACAATACCGTTAATGATGATTTCATGTGTACTCAATTAAACACTGCACTCATCACCGGAGTCGCCGCCTCCATCCCCAAGGTTCAGAAGTCCCCTCCTTTAACAGCCACCCCATTTCCACCCACTCCCCTCACCCCCTCTTGCACCCACCATGTGAGTTCTGTGGAGG